TTCAAAGTAGCGGAGTCCCCAGATAAGAAACAAGCAAATGCATATATAGAGCAAGCATTGACTGTTCGCCTATCCTGAAGGCCAATTAATTCTGACCATGTCAATACCATTTTTGGGGAAGTGTACCGGTGGGGCCACCTCGGTCACTTCGCAATTGTGTCACATAAATGACACTGTCATACGACGTTTGGGGGCCACTGAGACCCCGAGGACTTCTGTTACTACAAGCATCGACTTTTAAAAAAGCTATCGACCTAATCTCGAGATGGTGCCCGATCTCGAGGGCCCCGATTACTCCAAGTATGGGCTCCAAAGAGCCAATGTCAAAGTTCAAAGGCTAACTTCGCGTAAACACTGAAATATGAAATTCAAAGACTTGAAGAAGAAAAATCTTTTACATTCCCAAAAATATATTTACAAGGTGGTGTCTTTACTAAACTTTCCCCCTGATAAATTCATACAGAAAAAAGAAAGAAGGGGGAAGACGATGTGAGCCTATTCTTCACCCTCACTACTCTCTGGATCATCTCCGGAACCCTCGTCCGAAGTGGCCGAAAATGCCGATTCTTCCTCCAAGATTCGAGATTCCTCAATCTTAGCTGAGAGATCGGCTCCTTTGGTGCTTCCTTCCTCGAGAGCCTTCCTCCTTACTTGAGAACGAGCGTGAGCAATGGTCCGAGTCAGCTTTTGCTTGGCCTTCTCCAATATCTCTCTGGCCCGATTATTTGCAGTGGCGGCATCTTTCATGTATAAAGACGCATTTTTTTCGGCCTCAGACTTGGCCGCAAATAGTACAACAGCCTCCTTCGGAGCCCTTCGAAGAAGACCATGGATCGATGCCAACTCCGACCGCAAAAGGTATCTCTCCGAGGTCACGTCCTCATTTTGCCCCCTCAGCTCGAGGATCTCCACATTCTTGGATGCAACCTCTTCCTGAAGTTGCCCCACCAGGGCATCCTTTTGCCCAATCTGCAAAGGCAAAACAAGTTGGTGAGCATCGAATTACAAGAATAAAAAAGTGAGTTCATGGATGCCATGTTATCTGCTCAACAAGGCCAGCCCTTTCATGGCGCACTCCCTCCAAACTCGCCCGAAGCCCGCTCAACTCCTCCTTTTTTCGGGCAGAGGAGGCCTCCGACTCCTTTAGCACCAAGGTGAGCTTCTTGAGCTCCTTCCATGGCATGAAAGCTCATATTAAAGCCTAGAAAATGCATGATCATACATTTTCTTAGCCTACAACAACACAGAAAAGTTAGAAAGTCAAGAACAAAGATTTGAAGCACAAATGATATGTCAAAAGTATCACCTACTATTGAAGCCTCTTCGTCTCCTCGAGAGCAACGGTAGCATCGAGATCAATGTTATCATTAACTCCGTAGAAGAGGTCTCCGAGCACATCTTCCCCTCCATGAGAGGCCCCCACATCGGCGGTATGTGGGTCTTGTGCATCCCTGATTTCCCCCGGTGAGTATGAAGGGCCCAAATTAAGGCCACCTAGAGCATTAATTTCTCTAAGGCTCTTATCTTGTCCTTGAAAAACTTTGGGTACAGGCCCTCCGAAATCACCAGCCGCGGGTTCATCGGTACGGACTGTGCCATGTCCGACTTGAAATTCACGGACTATGCCGGAACCCTCCTCGAGGGTCTCCTCAGCACGCAAGTTTGGTCTGTATCGACCACCCCCGATTCAGCGGCCTTCCACCCATCAACTTGTGGATCATCCATGCCCCATCTTATCCTTTATGCCAAAGGGCAATCCTCATAATCATAACCTTTATCCTCAGTACAGGGACTTTCCACAGCAGCCAAAATCGTGCAAAATTTAGGTTTCTCTGGTTTGGGGGACTCGACCGACGTCTCTTTCTTCCTCTTCCCGCCTTTGCCGGTTTTGAGGTCCTTTCCTTACCATCAGTAGACGGCCTCATCGACACTCCATCCCCGAGGCCTACACAAGCATGATGCATCAAACTTACCACCACAGAAGATACTCATAAGGAAACCTAGTAAATATGGCAATAAAAAGCATTTCGTGGTTCTTGGCCTGCCACCGCGTTTTGGCCAAGTCACGCCAAGAACGCTCGATATAAGGGAAAGTGGAGTCCAACTATCCGATCCATCCCGATAGGTTCTAAACTGCGTCGGGTTACCAAACGGTGGCTGCATAATCAAAAGAACATTTTTCATAAGGGGATGAAAGGGCAATAAAATGAGCTCGAGGTAGCGGCACTTACGGTTCATATTCCATTCCTTCGGGAATGTCATCCTATTAGCCGGGATGATGTCCGAGGTCCTCACTCAGACAAACCAGCTCATCCACCCCCAATCCTTGTCTTCATCGATGCTAAAAAAGAACAACCTCATAGATTGAGGGTGAAGCTTGATCAAACCCCGGAAGAGATGAGGGTTGTATGATGTTACGAAGTGATTGAGGGTGAAGGTCATACCCTCGACCTGGTTGGAAAAGTATCGGAGCATATAAACGATCCTCCAGAAAGAAGGATAGATCTGACCGAGTGTCACTTGGTACTCACAACAAAAGTCGATAATCACCGGATCTATCGACGGGGAAGAAGGATCCAAAGAATCTATGAGACCTAGAGTAAATGAGTATGTATACATGATGAGGAAGCCAACTTTGTGGTCTACTATGCTTTCTTCAGGATTGGGGATCTCTACTAACACTGCCTACCCCCATTGGTAGTCTTCCTTCACTCTGTTCATATTGGTCACCACGCTGATATACCGAGACACGTGCTCACATCGTCCTGGTGTAGAAAGAGGATTTTCGATAGACAAATCGGATACAGTGTCAAATTGGATAGGGGTACATTGCTCGATATTGGGGGTATTTTTGGCTTGCCCTTGGACAGGCGTGATGAGGAAGTGGTGCACTCTTTCTGAGGTACTGTTCTAGAGGTTCTGGCCATGGCTATAAAAGAGAGGGGTTTTTGAGAAGGAAAGTAAAGAAGCAAGCGCAAAAGGGAGAAGAATGCAGAAGATGGTGAACTTAGCTATATAAACTTGAAGATGTTGTAAAAGTATGAATGACAATGCGGTTGAGGTATTTAAAGAAGCAATATAGGCAACATTTGGGAAGCGGGAAAGTCGAACCAATTGTGGTTCATAGGCTTCTCAATAGTCGTGTTGACAGCGACCCCTGCTCAGTCTTTTGAGTCATAGCATTTAAAGCTCTGATGAGTTGATGTCATGAGGGTAGTATCAAAGAGGTAAGAAATCAAGAACTTTTCTTATCATTTTTATTCTAAGAAATGCAGGGACTATCTGTATACGGCTAAAATCGAAAAGTTCGATTTTATGATCGTTATGACACTTCGTAAGACCTCCCCAAGAAGGCTTGAGGCTCAGCTCGAGGTTCAACCCTGAGGGTTCTCAAAAATCGACCTCGAGGCAGTGCAAATCGATGGCTATGATGGACAAACGGGAAGTTCCCAAGGCATGTAATTAAAGCTGACCAAGTCTATTGGGTAGTTCAAGCCCGTACTGTGGCATTAAATAGTTGTACCAACCTCAAATCCTTGTAATAAATGCGTCTGTACTATGTTGGGATTCCCCCTCATATATAAAGGGGACCCTTTTCATTTTGTAACATATACAATATTTAATATACAAGAACATTCTCTGCTCTCTAACTTAAATACATTCTCCCTTGATTCTATTATTTACATTTATTGCTTACATTTATTGTGTTCCATTAATTGTTCTTCATTTATTACTCATTATTGGTCATAAAGAGTTATTATCAAAGCTCTTAGAATTGTTAGTCCTTTATCGGCTGTTCACAGCCTAACGCTTAGCTCGACCTCGAGGCCCCGTTTAGGCCAGCTCGAGGCCTCGATTCTCAGTCACTCGGTTTGCTTGACACACTGCCTTCAAGCTCTTATCTTATTTTCTAGTCTCACACTTAGCATCTACTTCCTAACAACTAGCATAAAAGTAAATCACGTATTTTTAGAATCACAAAATCAAATCTAATGGTAATTACCATTTTCACGGTAAACAGTATAGAATAGAAAGAAGGTATATTCCATTAGATATTCTTTCAGTTGTACTTTTTAGGATTTCTTAGGAATATTCCCTGTAAATTGGAAGAGATAAAGAACAAAAAGGATCTTCTTCACTTTTGAGATAAGAACACATTGTAAAGGGTTGACTACAAAGAATATACAAAAGCTTGTCTGGTCCACTAATTACATTGTTCGATATACGCTTTTTATTCACAAGATCTAAAGATTCCTTGTCCATCTTCATTTTTTATTATTCTACGTTGTTGTTAGAAAGGAGAGTCATCCAAGTCATCCAATATTTGGGGTGATAAATTCCTCCTTATTACCTTTGTTACTATTATCTACATTTATTACATGCTTTTATTACGACATTCATTGACAATCATTGAACATTTATAGTTGGTATACAACATTTTCGGATTCAGCCCTACATCATTAATACATCTAAACGTTAGATCTAGCGGTTATTATATTTAACTAGGATTCATCCTCTATTTTCTCTGTAGACATGTGATTTTTGACCCTCCCCAAGATTTTTTATATTTTAGCGCATAAATATTTAATTTAGGCATAATATAGATATTTTAAGTAATTTTGACTCTTTTACTTTATTTTATTATAAGAAAACAAAAATTACAAAAAAAATAGGTTCATTAATGTTTTGCAGTCATTTTTAATCTTAAAAAAAAATACAAAAAATAGTATCGCATTTTTATTTTAATATGATATATGAAAATACCAAAAATAGATTTGTTTTAATGGTTAGTTTTATTTTAATAATTATTTGAATAGTAGGATTAATTAATAAATGGGACCGTATTTTTAATCTCGTTTGCAGGGAAAGGATAGAACTTGGGCTCGAGCAACCCATTTTTAGGCCTTATTTTGGACCTAGCCCACAATTTTCAAGCCCATAATTCCTAGGCCCATACCACTTAACCTAAAANAGGAACGAAAAGAACGGGCAGGCTAAAAGACGAAAAAGAACGAAAAAATGCTAAAAAAAGATCAAAAGTTGTGCCGCAGAGACACAACACAAACGAGACCCCCCCGGTGTCTTCTTCTTTAACCCCCCTCATTTTGGAACTTCTTCAGCGAAAAGAACGAAAAAACCAAACCATACCCCACCCCCCTGACCTCATCGTCTTCACATGACCCTTTACCAAACTCACCCAAAAACTATCCCCTTCTCCTCCACAACGACGATCCTCCATAGCAGCTCACACCATCACACACACATAACCGAAAAATAGAGGAGGATCTTTGAAAATAGTGAAGAGAACGAGACAAGCTTAAACTATGGAGTCAAGCAGAGGTTATTGAAATCGCCGCTGTCTGGAGTGGTTTCGAGTGCGATTTCGAGTCGAGTTTCGCGATTCCGGGTTTGAATTGTTGCTATTTTCTCGACTGGATGTTGGATTTGAAGCCTTGTATATGTTTGGTTGTTCGAATATTCAAAGTAATCTAATCATCGAGGTTTGAGGAGTGGTCGATGTCGTCGTCCCATTTTCTTGTTACCGTATATTGGTTCCGGTATAGTTTCTTGTTGTTGTCCATTTCCCCGGTCAAAGTCAGGTTGCAGAACGTTGATCGTTGGATGCTGAAGCAAGTTAAAAACCTTCAAAACCTTGTAGAGATATCATGATTAAGGGAAAATTTGGAGAACAGTAGCAAATCATTTTTAAATTTGAAGAAGGAGGAAAATGTTTTTTGTTTTGTTTTGGTTCTTTTTTGGGATTTTCGAACTTTCTGTTTCTTATTTAGTTCTTAGTTTAAATATAACAATTAGTACTATGAGATTTTAAAATAAAAAAAAACACAAAAAAAACACATTGGGTTTCTTCTGTTAAATTTGATTTCGACGATGGAGTTGGTTTGAAATATTTGATTCAGAGTTCCGTTTGAAGGTTGAATCTGTGGATGAAGATATTTCTGCTTCATCATTTGGTTCTGATTTTTGGTTATTCGAGTATGGGAACGGAGTTTAGCCGAGGTTGATTCGAGTTCATTGCCGGTTTTAGATTTTTGGTGCCGATTTGGGTTCCCGTCTGCGATTCGTTACATCTCGAGTTCAAAGTAGTGAAACAATCAATTTCCCGGCTATATTGAGGTTCAGCTCTTTCATCCTCTACTCATTTTATGCAAGCTCTTATTAATTATTTATTTGGTGATGTGATCCTGTTGTTTATGTAATTATTCTCCGTAGTTTTGAATTTGCTTGCTCGGTTATATATTCGTGTTTACTCGAATTGGTTATAGCTGAACGTGATTTTGTCACAGTATAGAAATTGGATTGTTGAACTATGTCAATTAGATTAAAGGGGCTCGGGTGTGTATTTCATGTGACCCTGCCATAATTTTGGATAATAATAATGAAATAAGCATGTTAAAATCCGGGGTGCATTTCATGTGACCCGGTTCTAATTTCCAACAAGGTTAAATAGAGCGTGTAGTGAACCACGGGTGCATTTCATGTGGTGTGGCTTGCGATATATTTTAAATGACCTTGAATTAATTCTTTATATAAGTTAAAAGCGGTTAATAGGTTAAATTTGCACATAGGTTCAAAATGTTCTAAAATCAGATAATTAAGCTGATTATAACAGTTGAGCGACCGTGCTAGAACCACGGAACTCGGGAATGCCTAACACCTTCTCCCAGGTTAACAGAATTCCTTACTCGGATTTCTGGTTCGCGGACTGTTAAACAAAGTCAAACTTTTCCTCGATTCGGGATTAAAACCGGTGACTTGGGACACCATAAAACTCCCAAGTGGCGACTCTGAATCTTTTAACAATAAATCCCATTTCAATTGTCCTTTAATTTGAAAAACTTCCTTTATTCATACCCTTCCGGGGTGTAATGAAAAAGGAGGTGTGACAGCTCTGGCGACTCTACTGGGGATCGAACCCAGAATCTCTGGTTCAGGGTTCATTAATTCGAGCTTAGAATAATTGTTATAGTTGGCTTTATCCATTATCTGAATTTGTTACATGATTTGGGCCTAATGTGCTAATTGATTGCTTTTACCGCTTTGATATTCCGTGAACTGTATATAAATTGTTGCGAAATCCCTCTTCTCTCTGAGTCTTCTAAATCATGAAGAAGTGTGCACTTCGTGTGACTTCTTTTCCGTTAGAGTCATATTCCAAATTTAGAACGAGGTTCGGACAAGTTGCAAAGCCGGTGAAGTTTCTGTATTCCCGGTACGCTGCCCCCCCTCGGCTCGAGCTGTCCTCTTGGGTAAGCCAGGTCTAGAACATTAAACCCAGGTTTTGAACCTAGAATAACTTAGCCTCATGCCGGATCCCTAGTAGGCACATTTGTTTGCATCATGTGCATTTGACTTTGGGGACTCAACACATGGGTTGGGTCCGTCTAGGACAAGTATACCCCAAAAACAAAAGACCATCCTGATGCATCTTATGTGCTACATGTTGCATTTATTCAAGGGTAGAAGGGTCATTTGGCGAACCAATGATAGCTGAGGGTAAATGAAGAAATGAAAAAACAACAATGAAAAAAGAAAGAAAAAAGAAGAAAAGAAAAAGAGAGGGGTTGAAGTGTGAGGATGAAGCGAGTAGGACCCAATTATATTTTTGTTTCATTTTATTAAGAAAAAGAGCATGGAAGTTTCAAAAGATTTTGCACCTTTTATCATTTTTCAAAAATCAAAAGAAAAATCGAAAAAAGAAAAGAAAATCCAAAAAGATTTTATATGTTTCATCATTTTTCGGAAAAAAAAAGAAAAAATGTGTTTTCTATATGTCAGTTATTGTTTTTTATTTATTATTCTCGCCCGTATCCAATCTGCCCGAACTACGCATACCTGATTCTCGTCTTTCGGGGTGTGATACGTAGGCAACGCACATAGGGTCCAATCTTCCTAGTAAATCTTAGGTTCTTGGTTTTGCGGGGTCTTAGCCAAATTTTGCACTTCTAGCCACCTTTTGGCCAAATAAGCCATTTTGCAAAAATAACCGCAACCATGTCTTGCATGTGTCTAGTAGGGATTATTATTGTCTCACATAGTGTTGGTTTAAGTTTTCTTGTACAGGTGTGGATTTACTTACTGGAGTTTGGGCATGACAGATACCCCATTATCATTGCATTCAGAAATTGCTCGAGGAGTCATTTTATATTTTTGAGTCAATTGTTCATGTTTTACTTTCTAGTCATGTATAGTAGTATTCGGTCTTTTCGGTGATGTTAGAGTTTGTAATAGTCTAGTTAAGTTTGCCTAGTCTTTTGTTATTGTATTATTTATTTGGTATTTGGAAATGTGTTACAAGTCAAAAAAAAAAAAGAAATTTTGCGTTTTTATATATTCGTTATAAGTTTTCTTTAGAATACTAATTCTATAAATGAAATTTTTTTTTCCTTCGAGGTTATTTTTCCTTTAGGCAATTAATAATAAAAATTGCTTTTATATTTCCTTTAGTATAAGAAAAAGAAAATAACATACTTTATCTTTGGTTTATTTTCAGAGTTTCTCTTTTAGGCAATCAAAAGGGAAATCAAAAAATATTTTTTTTTATCTTTTTCATGGCTTGTTTCAGAATCTTGCGCTAGGATATCAATTGAAAATTCAAAATATTTTTCTGTGGTTTATTCTTTAGATTTTCTTCATAAAAATGATGATTAAAAAAGGGATTTTACTCTTCTAGGGTTTTCCTTAAAAGGGTATTTGTTTCAAAAAAAAAAGGAGAAAAAGAAAAAAACACGCTCATTAAGCTTGAGTTTAGAATAGGTTATAGAGCATTCAGTCTAGAAAATTCAAAAAAAAAAAGATTTGCTTCCTTTATTTCTCTTTTCCCATCGGATTAGTCACTAAGGTAAAAATAAAAAAAAGAAGAAAATGAAAAATAAAAAGTTAGTTTATGTGCTTTACTCTCGATCTTCCAGAACTACGCAAAGATCTGATTCATTCGGGGTCATGATACGTAGACAACCCACATAGGGTTCGATCGAATCATTTTTTTTACTGTTAAAAGAAAGGAAAAAAGGGGAAAAGGAAAAAGAGAGAAAAAGAAGAGGTAAAGTCATGGGATGTGAGAAATGAGAAGGAAGAAAAGAGCGATAATCAGAAAGAAAAAGGGGAAGGAAAATGAGCGAGCTAAGAAGTGCTAGAAAAACAAAGAAAAGAGAGGTTGAAATGAACAAATTGGGATGATGCCAAGTGACCTTATGACCCTCGAATTCATTCTAGAACCATTAATTGTTGCTAGGTGCATTGCACGCAATGTGATATTTTTGTCGTTAAATGCCATAATGCTAACGTGATGGCTTCATTTTTTTGCTATATTCATAGCAGAAGGGTGGTTGGTTTGTGGTTTTAAAGGGGTAAGTCATCTCTACAACATAAAGTCAAAGGCAATGGCAGACAACATCAAAACTGAGTTGGTTGATACAGGTGCTCAAAAGCAATTGGTTGAACAGGATAATGGGTTGGTTGAAGAGGTGAGGATGTTAAGACAACACATGGTGGACATGTATCAGGACTGGATGACTGGGAAGGCACCACCCCCGCCACCACCTAACTTCCTAAATACTACCATTACCCAAATACTGGTCACAGTGCCAGATGATCCCCCATACTCTCCAGATTCACCTACTTACCATGGCTTTCCCAACCATCCTAGTAGCTCCGTCACTCATCTTCCAATTACCTTTCCCAAAAATTGTCCTCCTGTCTTATCGGCCATCTCCAATAATAAACACCCACTCAAAGCTCACGATGCCCAATATTACCCCTCAGAGGTTGCCTACAAGGTTCCCAACTCATACAAACAGGGCCTACGGGATGAGCCTTATGTTGAAAATGAAAAGGTCACAGGAAAAGAAGGGCGAGATGGGATACCCAGGAGGCTGAAAGGCATAGAACAGTCCTTAAAGAACAAGCAAGGAATGGGAGACCAGGGCAGCATGTCCTACAAAGAATTGTCTATGTCCCCCGACGTTAGTCTGCCTGCGGGGTTTAAAGTGCCAAAGTTTAACTTGTATGATGGGTGTGGAGATTCGATAGCCCATTTGAGGGATTATTGCAGTGAAATGAGAAGTGTTGGCGAGAAAGATGAGTTGTTGATGGCGTATTTCAGTGAGAGCCTGACTAGGGCAGCTTTGGAATGGCATAATTGTCAAGATGTTGGTAAGTGGCATACATTGGGTGACATGGCTCAAGATTCTGTTCGATACTTTCAATACAGATCAGGTGTTACCCCAGACCGCTCCTCCCTATCTAAAATGGAAAAGAAGCTGGAGGAAAGCTTTAGGGAGTTTGGGCTCAGATGGAGGGAGCAAGCTACTCGAGTCAATACCCCGATTGGCGAAGAAGAAATGGTCGAGCTTTTCCTACAGGCCCAGGGGCCCACTTACTTCAGTCATTTGATCCCGGCCTTGGGAAGGCCTTTCAAAGATGTGTTAAAAATGGGGGAACTAGTAGAAGAGGGAATCAAGTCAGGCAAAATCATGAGTTGTTCGAAAGACATTCAGAACATCCCAGTAAG